TGTGTGTTGTTGTCGTGTGTGTGTGTATGTGTGTGTGTGTGTGTGTGTGTGTGTGTGTGTGTGTGTGTGTTTTGTGTGTGTGTATATATATATGTGCGTGTGTGTGTGTGTAAAGTGCATGAGCAAAGGGAAGGGAGGTGGGGAGGCAGTAGATCTAAGAGAATAAACGCAAAAAAAAATAAATTTAAAGCTGTATTATCAAAAAATAGTCTCCTGACATTCGCATATGTTCCACTTTCAAATATATAAAAGTTATATGAGGCAGGATGGTGTATATATCGCGATGAAATCTATATATCTAGCAGCCCATACCCCCAAAAGAGCGTTGATTTCAGGTTATGCTCACCAGATTTGGGTCTCTGTCGCCCGATATATCTGCCGTTAACGTCTTTGCGTTTGCTTCTTGCGATGAGAATTCACTCATTATTTATGTCGGTCACACCAGTGATTACCCGATGCTGATTGTCCAAGTTCACTCTTAAGCAAACTATATACATATATATACATGTATATCTCACCATCACACCCTGTGAATGTACGTGATGCATATACACACATACGTAGGTATGCACGATTCTGCAATTCGGAGGGGCCGTAGTCCGCTCACATATTTAATTATATTTTTGTTTTTATCACACACAAATTCCACGCCACTGGATCTCTAACACACTATTATTAGAGAATACCCCATGAAATTCCGGTTGCTACACACTCTGTGTCCTAATTTGGATAGCTATTTAAATGATGGAGTCTGATATATACAAGCGCAGATGTGAGATATGATTTCTATCAGCAAGCGTATACGATACTTAGAATAAACAACCTCCACAAAGAAGTCTATATATATGTGTGTATTCAAGCTGTAACTACTTCCCGTACATAGAGCCGACAGAGATGCATATTACTGACATAAATGTGGTATAATATTACAACTATAAAATAAGTACCTTATATAACTTAAAACTTTACACAACGGTGAGCTTTTTTAATGCTTACTGGAGCAATGTGATGACGTAACATAAATACCGTCGTGATGTCATCACCAAAAATGGTTTTATTTTTCTGTAACTATGCTCGTCTGTGACTGTGACAATTCTTAGAACGTATTAAAATCAGTACATTTTACGTTTATTTTGGTTTGGTCCTTTGGGTTTGATTTGGGTGCAATATTCAGGTGCTAGGGTGCAATAATAAATGATTACTCCCCGAAACTGTCCAATTGATTTTCTTAGTAGGTCGAGCGCATCCTCCTCTACCATCACGCAATGAAGGTCTTTATAACCACACAAGGGAAAGGAATAGTTCACTCCCAGTAACTACCTCTATTTACCAGCAGATGTTATGACTTTATGTAAACACATATCGAACTGTATTGCAACTATACTATGCTTTTGAGTCTTAATGTGCATAAACAGTTTCGTACATGCACGTTCAACAGGAGAATATCTGAGTGCATGCATAACCATTGGAACTGGTACGCCCAAGGTATGTCTACAGTGAGGTTGTGTGTGTGTGTGTGTGTGTGTGTGCGTGTGTGTATGTGTGTGTGTGTGTGTGTGTGTGTGTGTGTGTGTGTGTGTGTGTGTGTGTGTGTGTGTGTGTGTGTGTGTGTGTGTGTGTGTGTGTGTGTGTGTGTGTGTGT